TCAAAAGCTGAAAATTTATTAATTATGAAAATTAGGTAATTAATATGCACTGACATTACCTTAAAAACTATCAGGTCTGTGCAGTGTCCTATGACATCTATGTACCAAGTTTCATTGAAATGTGATGATTAGTACTTGAGATATCAGTGGAAAAAACAAAAATTGACTAATCATTATGCAAATTAGGTAATTAGTAATTAGGTAATTTTTACCAAAAACTAATCAAAACCAAGCATTAGTTCAGAGCATCCATGTACCAAGTTTCATCAAAATCCAATAAGTGGTTCTTTAGATATCAATGGAACAGCTAAAAATTAGCTTATTATCATGCAAATTAGGTAATTAATATGCATGAAATTTTACCAAAACCTAATCAAATCTGCACATTAGCCCAGAGCATCTATGCACCAAGTTTCATCAAAAACTGATGTATGGTTCTTGAGATACCAGTGGAACAGACGGACACACATACACACACACACATACAGACACACTAACCGCAAAGACTCCCATTTTGTGCTTCGCACATGGGAGTCAATGACATTGGAAATACACAAAATCCAAAACATCAGATAGAGACAAATAACATGCATCAGATTTCGCAATTTATATGAATTATAATTTTTAATAACTTTATTTAGAATTTAATAACTTTATTAATGAAGCAAGACCTTATAAAGAGAAGAGAAAAGAGAAAATCTACTCATTACATAGTTTACACCTCAATTTGTAAAATTTGTAAGCAGCCATAATATCACAAAAAAATAAAAATGAAACACAAAAAATGTTTCTCTAAAAAACTGCACTGTATAATGTACATGCTATACACAGGGGATTAGGTTAGGGGATTGAAGACCACATTGTTCCATTTTCTCTCTCGTCTTGGAAGCCATAGTTTAAGCACATACATTGTCATATAGTGTCATGTTCGATATAGGTTCTATATGGTATAGATATGCGACATGCGTAAAAAAACTTGTACGGTAATACACAAACATGAGCACTGTACCATGAGATATTTACAGATTCTCAACACATGGATTGAAATGCAGCACATAATGATACAGCAGTAATTACACAACTGGTAATAAAATTTGTAAACTGCAAACAAGTCTATTATTTGAAACTTGGGAAAAACTAGAGACCTCTTCAACATGAGGCCCGTCTAAACTGGAGAATTTTCTAAACTAAGAGACTTGGCTAAGCTTGAGAGCTGTCTAAATTAAAGACTTGTCTACACGCAATGACTTACTTTTTTATTTATATAAAATATTTTTCAAGCCAATGCCTTTCGCAAATTGAAATCTGGCAGTATATACATATTTACTCAACAAACAAGTAACATCCATAAATACTGTATTTTCTCCATCAGAAGAACTTCTCTGATATGAACAATTTAAGTTTGAGTCAATGCACCAAGTAGCATCTTTCCAAGCATTGAATATTGCTGTTTAACGCATATAAAAAAATAATAGCCACGAAAACATTGCCAAAAAAAAAACAGTAACTACACTTGTGAGAACAATGTTGTGAAGGTGTTGTACTGGTGCTTTCTATGAAACATTCAGCACAAGAAATGAGTGAATGTGATTAGCAAAGTAATTCTGTCAAAAGGATCTGAATAAAGCACAGAAAACAAAGCAGAATAAACATGTTTTGGTTAAGGTAGGTAAAAATGTTTGTACCGGTACTTCTAGTGTTTTAGAGTAGCCCTGGAGACATTCACCACATGCAGCACAAGAATATTCAAACTCAATTGTGGCAGAAAATGATTAGGCGCATGTTGATGACTGGAAACTGCATACACCTCAAGTAAAATACAACAAATGTTTTATATGATATTCTGAGATGTGGTGCATTAAGCGGGGAAGACTTTACACAAGTCAACTGAAAACTTCCGATACAAGAAATGAACACTTGTTATTTGAAACAAACTTAGTAACCTTTAAGGACTTTTTATAGAATGGTATTTGGGCCAGAATTGAGTGTTTTATTCAGTCAAATGTGAATATCTTCAATGAATCATTTATTTGTTGAGTAATAATAATAAGATGCATGATCTTTTATGAATAACCAATGTAGGTTAAATGTAATACACAAAAACCTAACAAGTTATTGACACAGATTGTTATAGACCATGCATTATATATATGGTGGGCCAATATATTTACGAATACCGACAAAGCCATGGAAACAAAGCGGCTTTGGCATTGCCGCAACTACTGTCCAGCTATCCAATGAGGAGTCATACATTTCTACTCGATCAGAGTAGTGTCGCAGTTCACCTCCACTAACGTATATCTTACGATCGATGACGGCGGCACTAGGATGGTTACGCTTGGATAGCATATCTGCAACTTGCCAAGTACGGTCTCCTTCAGGGTCATAGATTTGAGTGTCCTTAATACGGTTTCCGCCAAGGATGTACACGTGGCCGTTCAAGCTGGCAATCGGAAATAAATGGCGATTGAGTTCAACAGTATTTGTAACCCAACAATCCTGTGTGTCTAGGTTATAACACTGTATCGCACATGTCTTTTCGTAAGTAAGCCACCCAACAATGAATAAATTACGCTTAATCCCAGTGACGGCTAGGTTACTCTCAGTAGGATAAATTGAACCAAGACTATCCCATTTATCATCAAAGGGGTGATAGCCCTCAATGTCCTGTAAATCACCCTCATCATTCTCTCCTCCAACGACATAAATACATGCGTTAGTAGATGTTGATCCATGGTTGAACCTGGCATTCTGCATTGGTGTTACACACATCCAGAAATTAGAAGTTGGTTCAAAGCACCAGACATCAGCTACTGCGTCGTCATTCAGGTACCCCCCAGTGACGTAAATGTTGTCATCCAATGATGTGACACTGTAATCAGTTTGTGAAAATGGAATATCAGGTAAGGAATCCCACTTCTTCTCAATTGGGTTATAGAAAGTTATATCCCGCTGCCAATGACGAACTGAATCTATACCGCCAACAACAACCATTACCTCAGTCATCATTGAAGGCCGAGGTCTCAAAGATGGATCCCTCACATCATGACCCTGCCACACCTGTTTCTGAATGGTTTTAGCTCGCTCAACTAAATTTCTACAGTCTTTATCATGTTCAACCAATGGGTCATTCTCAATGTGGTTCATCAGAAATCCTGGGCTGATAAGTGGTAAGCGAACATGCTCTAAAATGACAGGTAATTTTGACCAACGATTGTCAACGTCATGCCTCACCCACTGCATCACAGCTACATATACCATCTCTTCACTTTTAACATTCAACTCATCATTAGAAACATAGCTTATCAGTTGTTCAACTGATAGATCAAAGAACTCTTCCTGCTTAACCACGTCTACTAAGTTTATGAGTGCACACGTTCTCGCCTCTTCCACTAGGTCCAGGCAATTATGGGTGTCAGCAAAAAACTGAATGCCTAAACAGTTTGAGGGGTGGATTTGAGTTTTCAGAAACTCACAACATGCCTGTACAACAGGTTCATATTGTAGAAATTGTGCTGCAGATAAAAGATCCTGCGCGTTGTCCACCGTCACTGTAAGCGTTGATGTGTACGAGTAGTCAATTAGAAGTTTTACAATGTTTGATTTCATTGATGTCAGAGTTACATGATCCTGATGACGCTCTCGTAAATCATTTTTGAACATCGCTTTAAAATACAAACAGCTTGCAGCCAACACAGCCCGATGACAGGGGTACATGTCTTGCTCAACACAGATTACAATATCGGTAAATTCACTGCTTTGTCTGAGATCATTCAAGTTTTGAAGTATTTCCATTGCATGATCTGGTCTTCTTAACACACCTGTCTGTTTGTTAATGTCAATAACAAGCCCCAGGTTCTCCATTTTCTGGTTTCTATCGCCACCGCTGCTTGGTCGAAGCTCTGACGGTGTCTCTATTGAACTCTTAGTAGCCATGGTGAGAGACTCTAAAGTTGGCAAACAAAAACGTAAAATTAGTCTATTTACTAGTCTATTTATGAAAATACATAATATTTAAAGTTAGTCTGTTTTCAATAGGTTTAGTTTAGTTTTTTTTCAACTGATTTAATGTTTCTTGGGTTTCCATTGAAACAAAGTCGAGAGTGAATTCACGGTCACTCCTTCTTGGGATTCCTATGGCAATGTAAATGTATACAAAATCGAAATAACAATACACTCACTGAGATGTTATAATATTAATTCAGAGAAAAGTAAGGTATTGCATATATGTCAATTATTCGTCACAGACATATTTACCAGTTCTGTTTGGCCTGTTTGCGTTTGCAGCTTCTGAAACCTTAACATTGAATACTGCGATTGTGAATTGGTCGGTCTTCTTGAGAACGAACGATCATACAACAAGAAAAATCACAACTTTCTTTGCAACAATATCAATTATTTCACGATCATGCGAATTATGTGAGTATCGTTTTGTCAAACTGTAAAGTGTAGACTGTTGACGGAAATGGTAAGCGGACAGTGTTCATAAAACTAGACAAAGTCCACGGATACTCACCCTGCTTGTCCGCCATTTTGAATGTTTTGACAGATCACGTCACTCATCACGTGATGTAAACATTAAACTTTCCAGTCAGCTGGTTCGGCGACATTGAGTCCCACAACTACTCGTATATTGCGTAATGTAGTGTAGTGTGGCGTAGTGTATTTATATTACATCATAAAGTATTACTGTTATACTACATATGAAAGAACGAACCTGTGAGAAATCAATAGCTAAACTAAATAACTATTGACTACTATATTTATTGGCCATGAGTGAAATAACTCTTGAAATGTTCTTAAAATTCAGATCAAATATTAACATTCCAGTGTACATAGACTGTAAATGCAAAATTTTCCAAGAAGGTGGTTCACAGTGCTTCACAGTTCTTCTTATTTTTGGAAAATGTTTGAATAAAACTCTTCTATAGGATGTAGAGTACATGCAAGTATGACTATTTTATGAGATAATTGTAGATCATCACGAAATTGATTTCGATACCGATAATATCTATTATAGATGTGATAGAACTAATAGAATTAATACAAATTATGTGTGATACTTTTCATCACTTTTTGAATCTGTAATTTTCAAGTTAATTTGAAATCCACAATTTATTTACTTGATCTACCATACTTACAACTCTCAATTTTCATATTATCAATATATCATCAATCTGTTCTGCATGACTTTTAAACAAAAAAAGAAATAATCTGAGAAACATAAAAAAAAAAAAATGTCTGCAAATACTTGAATCGAAATTACATATATGATAAATTTATAATAAGACGTAAGATTGAACCTTGTGGAACTGTACATTGAATATATACTATTAAATTGTACAATTCGTTTTCTTTTTAACAACTTTATAAACCATTCAAATGACACATCTGTGCCATTTTTTAATAAACTTTGAATAATACCGTTTACCACAATCAATATAGAAGAGACGGGACTTGTCAATAGCGTGTTCTCCAATAAAAAATGGCCTTTATCAATCTGGAAATTATCTCGGGAATAAGTAAACTGATACAATAGAATGTAGAAACTTGATATATCAGTGAAATATATCCCACATGTAACTCAACGTACATTTAGTTTGTTTGCTTCTACAAATACCGATACACCGTTAGATCATGTTAATTGTTTAGCACTTCGGTTGCGAAAATGGGAGTAAATAACACGATGCACAGCGTTGATGTTTTGATTTATGGTCGTCCATCAACAGAATACTTTTTTCACTATATTGTAATTGAGTACACAACCCAACAGCCAATGTTGTATGAACGGCATTGCTTACTCGGCGAGGGCGCGATTTATCGGAGAAGTTCCAAAGTTACTGAATCAGCTAATTAACTGTTCAAACTACCGGTAATTACTTTCCGGATCTAAAAAGTTTTAGCAAGACTCATTCATAGAAAAAAGGCGCTTTAAGAGTTCACACATCTTTCAACAAAGGCTGGGCCCCTTAATATTAGAAATATTAAATGAGATTGGTGTTGAATATTTCACTAAATCCCCGCCTAAATATAACTCTAAATAGAAAATACAAAGACTAAAATCACTGAAGAAAAATGTCTTAAAGCATTGTTCCGTTAAAAGAAAAAAATAACCAAGCTCATTCAACTAAACCCTAGAAATATGGTTGTGAGGAATGAAGTGACGAAAGTTCGATGTCTCAATATACACCTCGGATTTTTCTGAAAATGGCAATCTAAATGGCTATTTACAGAGAATTGTGTAGAGATTCATTTCATTGTTCATTCAAAAATAGGCAAATCAATGTTTCAATAGAATAGCCAACTCCAGGAACATACATGAAAATGAAATCAATTTTCAATGATGCAAATTATAAAGCACTAATAGTTTCACACGATCCAATAACATCAGCAACATTGAAAAACATTAATAAAAACTAAAACACATGCATTTTCAGTACATCGGAAAAATGACATAATGACAATAGAAGTTTCGTCTTTGTACTATAACCATCATATGATTGGAATAGGACGCCATACTCAATTGCCAGAAACTGTACGAGTATGCCTTTTCTGTAACACAAATCAGATTGAAGGTAATGAGTCTTGTTCTGCCTATGCTCAACAAAGAAACCTTCTATTTATAGAAGCAGGTAAAATATCAAAAAATTTCAATAAATTTATCCTATTCAATACATTAGGCCATTGTTTGAAAATCGGTTTTGAATCTAGACAACACCTCCCAGGTTTTAATGCGGCTCTTGTCTTTTTGTTAGTGCGCAGTCTCTCTATAGGACTGTGGTTTGTACATTATCAATATAAAAAAAGAATCTCAGAAACGTTCTCACTCTTACATTTTTGTGCACAAAAGAATTTTATTGTAAACTGAGTGAACTATAGATTCCTTCATGATGGGTGCAGAGTATGCACATGTAATCATTGACACGCAGATCGCCGCAAACCGTCTGTGCTGAATAGCGCCACCTGTGTTGACATAATGACATGTAATATGTATAGCGCCATCATGCAGCAAATCTACACATGCCCTTGTTTTTATGAAAGAGAGACGCATCGCACCATCTTGCAGAGAGGGACACTATGGGATAATGGCCAACACCAACGACAACCAACTGTTAGCCAAGTTAATGGGCAAAATTAGACCCTCGTTACAAGAATACAGCTTGGAATATTTTTAACGCAATATCACAGAATGATTGTCAGAATACAGTTTATTGACATGGATACCATGAAACGGCTGTATGTTCTAGCCCCTTTAATAACAAAGTACCACAGATCATTATTAAATGGACTATGACACCTGTCAAGTCTTTGACCATACATTGACCCAAAGGTTATGGCACGGCATTCTGAACATTGTTGAAAAAACACAGATTCCCACACATAGAACATTCAAGAACTTTCCAAGTCTTTCTAGTGAATTATTTCCCTTTACTCAAAAATACACGTAAAACAAATAAACATTACCTCACACACATTCAGTGTTATTTTACCAGTTGTGTGTTTTTATTAACATTACAGACCTCGGTTTTATAAGAATAAAAACAATTGTGAGTGACGATGGTAAAAACATGCATTCAGGCACATACACAAAGAACTCATTTTCATTGAAATCAAGTCTCATCAAATGATTACATAAGAACTAGACTAAATTGGTTCTAGTCAATACATGGCCAAAAAGAATAGCCTTTACACATTTCAATAAGGGTTAACCATGTATAACTCAGGGTGGTTCCTAAAATTCCTACTGGAACAATAGACAATTTCAGACAGAGAAAATTTTTTTTTACAGTTGCTGCCACCACCCTTCCAAGATTATATTCGTTCACTAATCATTCATAGAAGGAACACTTTCATCACTGCCCCCCCCCCTCACCCACTGTTATTTCAAATAACAGACAACTAAGAAAATGAAGTCAACTCATGATGCTTATTGACTAGTGATTTATTTAAATAATACTCTCAACATCGACAGAACACACTTTATTGACAAAAACAATTAAGACTGTCATCAAAGCAGGCATTTAATTATGATTGACAGGTGTTACACAACAGTTATCAGACAACTCCCATTTCCAAATACATAAATAACAATGACATAGGGATGCAATAACACTGTATTGTGTCAGCATCTCTATTGGGACTTGGATAAAATTGTGAAGTGACTCATAGTCTAACTATGTCTAGGCATACTGATTACTTAACAGTAGGATATAATTTTTCAATCCTTTTTCTAGGCCCCTATGCTGAATCAGCAGTGAGCTAAACTACTTACAATCGTACACTGAGAATCATAAAAAACATTAGCTTTCGAGTTCATCTGTTTATTAATAGGCTGAAAGACATAATTATAATTTGTTGACATTTAAATCAAGTCACAACCATGGACAATATTGCAATCTATGCTATAACCTAATAAAACTAGTTTTCAGGAAATAGCACAATTATAGTATGCTGAATTGTTATGTGCAATAAATAAAATTCAAAATGAACATTTTTCATATTTGGTGTAAAAATGACGATGTGATACGAGATAAAAATCTCCCGAGAAATGAAGAGTTATTCATCATACGAATTGCGAGACAATCATACAATCATACAAATAGACAAACAAATTACATTTCTAAAAATACTAATGTGAAAGAACTGGTTGTGTTTGTTTCCAATAGTTTTGCAAGAGTTCTTGCTTATTTGTAAAGTATGTACTACATAATCTTTTTTATTCCTATTTATGTAATCAAACCTTTCCAAGCTTTCACTGCATTTTGTGATGCTGTTTGTTAGAAATGTATTCATCTCATGCTCACAAGGAAGTTGCTCTTCGTTGTGTAACATCATCACATATCAAAGTAACACAGTAATATATATAGTATTTCTACTTTGGATTAGATCAGTTACAACACTTCAGTTATATTATTAAACATACTGCGTAAAAAAAATAAATACATAAAATAATATCTGGCCATTACATGACAAAAATATAATACATACGAAGAGAGAGAGAGAGACAAAAATTAAATAATTTTCTTGTGTTGCCAAGGCATTATATTGTGTTACAAATTTGTTTGGCTTGGTTAAGATGTTAATGTGATATTATCAGCTATGACCACTAGAATCTCTGAATGTTATATCAATCACAGATAAGACATAAATAATTTGACCTCTGACAACAAAACAATTTTAATGTTGTAGATGAGTGAAAATAATGCCGTTCAAAGAGAAAACTCTTTGGTTGTGAGTCGTTAATTCAGAAATCAAAAAATGTTTCAAAAACATTATTTTTTTTACTGGAAATGCTGTGACCACTCTTTATTTCACCAATTCATATCATCAGAAGTATTTTGTCACACGAAAGTGCAATTTACGCAATTGTCGCCAACTTTGAGGTTTTCTAATTTCTTTCATTGATTAATAACAGTTCTTACATGCACACTTGATACATTCTTTGTTTAGATTATTAAAAAGTGTTCGGAAACTCTAGGAGTAAGTGAAACAAATAATTGTAAATAGTGACTGGGTTCTTAAAAAGTGTAAATTAAAATAACAAATTACAAAATATACATTGTTGTTATTTACATTTAAAAAAAGTCAGACTCGGGTTTAATAAATAGCTAAACTAATATAGCAAATAATAAGAATAAATATCAATATGATAAGGTAAAAATATGTTTTTGCATTATTTGAAATAAAATTTAAGGTAGAGAAACAAAACTTGTGTTGAAAATATTGAATCTCAAGTTCAGGTGCAACTGTGCCTGATAGTCAATTCAGCACTAATATTATTATAAATGACAATATCCATACAAATGTGAGCAAATAATATTTCAATTTTTTATATCACGATGCTTTTATATACAATTAATATTAATATTAACTATCTATGGGGTATTTCACCAGGAGAAGTGTTAGCATGCTGTCCGGGCAGTCAGAAACAGTGGGCATGAAATCTCAAAAGTAAATTTCTGGCAGTGAAGCAAGCACTAAATACAAGTGCCAAATTCAACAGTGGTGACACTAATTGTGACATTGTAAAATTAAAAAGTAGGTTTTGAATAAATTGTTTATAATCGCGAAAACATGAGTTATTGTTATGAAAGAACAAAGTTTCTACAGTGAAAAGTTCTACGTGATAGCAGACTTGTGTGTAATCTTTTTGAGAATATTCTCGACAAAAAATAGGTAAGCCTGAGATACTTTGATTGTATATGGTTTAAGCTGATTTTCACAAATTACACCAGTCAGTGGAAATGGGAGGAATGTTTGGGAAACTGACAACCATTACAGGAAATCTTGATTGCAAAATGTAACTACTTTGTGATAATATTTAAGAGGGAAGAAAAGTAATTAATGTTAATGAACTGAAATAATTTATCATGTGATTATTAAACGATGATAGGGACTGACTGATATCACCACAGCTGATTTATTGATTAATTGTGCTATTACCATGATACTGGTTATCATCATTATAAATTATTGAATTGAAATCTAGTAAACTCTCAGAAATACGCCGACTGAAATTGAATATTCATATTTAAAAAGAACTCAATTGAATACCATAATTATGAATACAGATTATAATAATAATACATAATTTCAACAAATTTTAATATTTTCTACTATTCAAGACAAATATGTACAGTACTGGGATTTTTTTTATCATAATTCTTTCTTTGCTATGATAATATCATTAATACTTAATTTTGAGGACTACTTCAACACCTACACTTGAGTCTTTCAAAGAAACATTAAATATATACAATATAAAATAACAGTTGAACAAACCATGTGGTTAAATTTGCTCACAAGATCTGACAATAGGACAGAGCATGAATTAGTTGTTTGAAACAAGAAAACTTACAACACAGGGTGACATAGCATAGCAAAATATGTACTCAATAAAGAATAGTACTATGATTCACCTTGGAGTTGAAAGTCACATCGATCTCACCAACACACATGTACATTTACATCGATCATCTTGTCTTCTAGAGCAAAGTACAAGCAAATATCTTTTCAAATGTCATACATAAATAAATACTGTAACATATTTTATTTTCGCTGAAGTGAAAATAAAATCCAGTGAATATACCTCTTTTCCTACATTTTACAGTCAACTCGTCAAAAATCAGTGAAAATAAATTCCATACAAAACACCCAAAAAGTTCTATTCAGCAAAAATTAATTCCAGCTAAAATAAAGTATTTTATAATATCCTGCACTTGTCTCAAAACATATAACACATAAAACCAAATTTTGAAAAAATTTGATATAAAATTATGGACCATTTGGAATAAAAAATCATCATAATCATTAATATTCATAATAAAAATAGTTTTCATTACATATGTTAATTTATTCACGTTGCCATGTCAACTAAATTGCCAGATAGTTAGTATAATTTGCTAACTGCCTCAATATTCCTGTTTACGATTATTTATTTAAAACTACAAATTGATATTATGATCACGGATGTGGACTTGAACCTAACTAGTATGAAACATACATAACTCTGCCCAATGAAGTATAATGTGCTACTGTACAATGTTGACTGCGCTACAACATTTTCTCATTTGTGATTTCGTGAGTTTGTAGCCGTGAACATTTCACTGGGTTCATCACTTAGGTGAAGTTTAGATATCACGGTCAAATTATTGTATTTTTTACTACTTGGTTGTCTAACAGTTATATATATAATTATATTCAAATATCATTTATAATAGTGGTTATTACAGGAGATGTTAATGAGTTGATGACATTAGGATTCAGGCTTAAAGTTGTATTTTTTTTTACATCTGACAATGAAGACATTGCATGCCGATAACATGGAGAAAATTTGTATACCGGTTAATGTGTTGTAAAGCTCACTTTATAGCAAACATAGGAACTACCCATGAAAGTACTCAGAATATCGACACAAATATAAGAATGCATGCATACACTGTATTAACATGAAGATAACATTAAACGACCCTCGCTGTCTTAGACCTGGTTTTTCTTCGAACTAAAACCTTGCGTGTACATGATATGTTCCACTCTGGCGACGATGAGTAACCGTCAGAGGATCCCGCAGGGTCAGGTCGTGGTCCCATCAGTTCTTCTGCAAAATGATCTGGTATGGCTTTTTCCTTACCAAGCATCCTGCGTCTGCTACGGGGTGTGAGTGATAAGATACTTTTCATGCCTAGTGTAGGGGTGTCATCTTTTATGTTATTAAGTGCCTTGGCAACACTGTAAAATATAATTGTAACAAACAATAATAGTTATTTTATGACTTAAGAATTTAACATATTGACATTCATAGACATACAGGAGTGATTTTGCCGCATCATCGCCAATAATATATTTTAGGAGTCACAATATGTCATCTTGCATGTTTTATAACTACTAATAATTTTGTCGTCTAATTGAAACTAAAAAGTAAATTGTGTAGTGAATGAACAGGGTGTAGCTTAGCAATCAAATAAAATCTGTTCAAAACTTATAATTATTTACATCTACTTGTACTATGATCATATTATTTTCCGTAAAACAAATATTTGTTTTTAAATTTATTCATATTTCTCAAAGAATCAAGAAAGACATTTTGTTTGTTTATGCGAGCTGATCAAAAATCATAATTGTACTTTCCTAACAACAATAAAGCCTTTTAGAACAACACAAAGATTGTCTGATTGTTTTACATGTACATACTTATATGAACCATATATGGGTCCTACTATTTAACGCCCGGACACGCGAGGCGCGTTAGGTATTCCCCCCTGTTCGCCTCCGCGCGTGCCCGAACACTCCCTCGCGTGTCCGGGCGTTAAATAGTAAGACCGCCATATATCATTCACACAACTGCCGGTTGTACACAAGGAGTGACTTGTTTCATCCAATTAAAAAACACCCAACAAATCTACCATCATCAACAGAGTTCATATACATACCTTGGTCCAAATAAACTCCATTTTGGTGTCTGATCCATCTTACTAGAAGTATCAACCTTTAGTCTAGGTAGACACATTCCCTTCTTCACTGGTGAAGCTGTGATTGGGGGATACTTCTGACTAACGTCATCTTCCTTACATCCTGATGATACCAAGCTTTTCATCCATCCAACAGACCATCCTCCCCCAGCACCAGAGTTAGCATCACTAGCTGAGAAGTTATCTGGCATGGTGCAACCTTGTTTCGATGACTGGGCAATTTTCTGTCTTGTCTTCTGTGTCATCTTCTTCATCAGTTGAAATGGCGAGAAGGTGTTTGCCTTCTCAAACTCTTCTTGTAATTTCTGTTTGCCTTTGTCTCGAAGTTTCATCTCTTGGATGTAGTTGTATTCAAACTTATAGTCTAGTTTGAAAGGTAGGATTGTTAATGGTAGAATGGCTAAGACCAAGTCATCAAATAGCTGTTTCAATGGTGATTTGCAGAGGACCAAAAAGGCATCAGGTTTGTAAAAACCATCCAAGATATCTAGTGAAAAGATAATGAGAATGTAAGTAAGTTTCCAATGAATCCATTCCCATAAATTGCACCCTCTAGCGACAGAGTGCTTCTGTCGCGTCTAAATGACAAATATGGATGAAAGCAGTGTCGTTCAAATAGACAACTGTGTATGGTTGTGTAGTCACACGCCATCTGGAGTAGAGTAAAATATCTTGAAAATATAAACTTCATTGTTGGATGACTACAAATCAAAACCATATTGACGCTGACATTTTATCAAACGTAATTTTTGAATGTTAGCCAATAACTTTACATATATTCTAATATATTTTAATTAATCATACCTTCCCTTGAATTCAAATGCAGCAGCCACTGTTCCAGACATCCAGTGCTACATGACAAAAAACATAAATTTTATTCTTTTTATACTTCAACAATTTCTTGGTATAATTTTGTTTCACTATTTGTTATGTTTGTAATTTTGAAACTTTTGTTTTTTTGTTTGTTTTTTCTGATCTGTATCCTTACCATACAGCACCCATGGACGGTTCAGTTGTGTAATAAAGTTATTATTATTCAACATCATGTCTTGATCAAATTTGAGCAGCAATACTGCTCTGCAAATTTTCTACTTTCTAATGAAAATATTGTATTATCATATCGTATCATAAGATACGGCTTTAGAAAAGTGGAAACTCTGATTTGTGTCAACTTACTTTAGTAAACCAAAGATGAATGCATTAAACTTCACCATAGAATCTGTCAGGTTTTTTAGGTTAATTATATGTGCTACAACATCATTCAACTGTTTAGTGCCTGGTCCTATGGAATAAACAAATAGAGAAAACAATTGTTAATGCAGTTTGAAACTCAATAAAACTCAAAAATGTTTTTAAATACTGTATTTCCATTTTTCTAGCACTTTCTAGCACACAAATAACAGAGGTTTTTCTATATGGTTTAACTTTTGCTAAAGCTGTGTTCATAACATGCTGACAATCGAAGGGTTATGTTGTTTTGTAAATCTTCCTTATCATAGGTACATATGTTGCAGTGGTTTTAACACCCATTCATTCCCTATTCAACAACCACTGAGTTTCTGTTGGAGGGCATATCTTAAATCCAGGAAACTTGTTCACACAAATTTCATCTCAGAGTTACCAAACTCAAGACCATGCAGAACATGAGGTAAGCTATACAAATTGGTTAATCAGTTCACACATGTTTTTTTGAATAACAGTGGGTTGAAATCAACTCTGAGTCAAATCTCATGTTTTCTAGACATGTGAAGATCCTGCAAGTCAGTATACATGTACAATGAAATGCTTGTACAAGAGCAAACAAAGTATGACAGACAAGAACAATACTTAGCCTATCATATTACAGATACCTGCTTCTATACAGGACTAGGAAAGTCAAAGATGAATGTGTTGGCAGTCTACCAACATCACACACATAATTAGTACTACAGGATATTTATGTCTCAGTTTACCACAAATAAATGTCTATTATAAATTCCTTCCAAGATTGTTAGTATAAACGCTTATTTATTAAGCTTCATTGAAGGAATATATGCATGAATTGAAATATTTTAAGCAATACCCAAGAGCATTTAGAAAAAGTGTTCAACGGTAATTTCTGCATTATTGATTAAACACACCATTAAGATGATAAATTAAATGCTAGATATTATGAAATCAACATATAATTTGCATGACAATAATATAGTTTTGTTATTTGCATATTTGAATAATTTTGGAAGGTAGGTGAGGTTGGATGGCAAAAAATTGCAACCCTTTGTGGAAAACACAGGGACTTTTGTACTGTTTCAACTATCACTTCAAAAAAAGTGCTTGGAAGAGGCTGTATTACAAAGCTCAAATAAACTATCATCTCATTCAGTGAACCAATCAGTGTGGGAACCTACATAAGGAAACCATTCACCATGGATTTAATTCTCACTAAAGAGGGTAATTATACGGCAATGTAATTCAAGTGCAATTTGATTTCTATGGTGGTTTGATTTTGAGAAAGGATTATGCCTAGTAGGGAAGGCGCGGCCCATCAAAACATTTAAAAATTTGTGTTTCTCAGTGTAGCTAGAATGGGTGCAGATTAAGGAGAAACTTTTCAGGTCTTAAAAACAAACCTTTTATACAATTCCTTTATAGACAGCACACTAATAACACTATACGTGAAACTGAACACTTAAATCTCAAATATCTGAAGATGAGATTCAGTATCATGAATTGTTCAGTAATTACACATAGCACAGGAATCCTTAGCATATCTCTAGGGCAACCATCAGGTCACATGTCCAATGGATATGGTGTAAATAATGCTTCTATTGTCAATGCCATGTAGTTGTACATGATGGATGGACATGTCCACAATAAGTCATAGCGCATCACATTAGTGCTAAGTCATTTGTCATGACTTGCAGATTACTCTAAGTTTACCTTTCAGGGCAAATAACACACCACAGTCACAAAGCAGATACGCTAGTTCTCTATATGCCGTTAGACAGTGATGTTATATGTTTTTTAGCCCACCAGCATGTCAATGTGTGATAACAAATGTCGCTCACTGATCAACACAGACACAGTTGTTTTATTAACAGGAACACAGATATGTATAATTAATAATAGCAGTAGCTAACAATGCCTTTACTTTATCTTCAAATGTAAACAACCAGTTCTTGCCAGCCAGTTACTGCACCCATGCACCTATACACATGCAGAATGTGAACAGTGCAACGGCCTATATGAACACTCCATAATAATAATAATAATAATAATAATAATAATAATAATAATAATAATAATAATAATAATAATAATTTCATTTATTAAACCATAATGAAAGTTAACAAATCATTTTAGGCTGTTATGTAATAAATTTAAAAAACAGTAACAAAAATAAAAAAAGTTTAAGAAAATTAAGATAAAAGTTAATACTCAAAATTTAACCAGTTCTAGTCTACAGGTTTCAAGTGTTTTGATGATTATGTTACATTGATGTGTGGTAATTTTAAAAACCAGTCCAGAAAGCTGGGATGGCAATTAAAATTAGTTTCTATTTTGTAACATACCATATGCTTGCATGAATACAAAAACCATGGTTTCATTTAAATTTTCTCACAAGGTTGTTTCCAAATTGGCAAGTGAATAATTGAAGGAATTTAACTTTGTTTTTTGATACATATGCATTCTAAATATGCAAAATACTGTAAAATATACTTTATTTTAGCTGGAATTAATTTTCACTGAAAAGGTTTTGTTTGGAATTTATTTTCACTGATTCTTGATGAGTTGAATGTGAAATATAGGAAAAAAAGTATATTTGCCGGATTTTATTTTCACAGAATCATTCCTTCAGCGAAAATAGCGAAAATAAATTCCAAGCGAAAATAAAGTATTCTACACTATATAATTATTATTAAGAACAAAAGAAAGACTTCAATTTTTTGTGGACATAAAGGCATGTCCATGGAATAAGACGCTTTCAAACAAAACCATGGAACCTGCAGAAGATTTTATGAGTATGATCTCAACATACCTAACTTAGTGGTGGCTTCCACGACATTCCAGATGTTATTTTTAATTCTCCCAACTATAACACTTCGTCCATAGGGTTGGAGACCATCAGTAAGTATGGAAGCAATTCCAGGACATACATACTGCAGTATCATGTGACCAATGTCAGGGGTACATTCTGTATCACCAAGTTTGCGCTGAAACACAAAACAAAATATTTTATAGCATATTCTAGCATTTTAGATGGACTTTGAGGTTTCAGTTGAATGAGTACTGTAACAGAAGTACCATAAAAAAATAAAATTTAGAAAATTTTGTTTAATACAATACTCTGTTGAATTCATCCAATTTTTAGAGTAAAAATCAGTGGTTACAAAAACAGTATGCGATGATTCTTGGGCTAAAAAACAAACTAAAATAAAATGTGAAACTATTTAGGTAATGTGTTGAGTAACACAATTCAGACAATTCATGTTGACTGTGTAATTAAGCTTGCATGCAATCATATTTCCATGCCCTTTTTTTCCATAATTTCTTTCTTAATTTTGGAACAATGGACATACCGGTACATAGTAATTTCAAATGGATATAATTTACATTTGACTAAATGTCATAATTTGTTTTTGGAGTTTTATTCTGTGAAAGTTGAAAAAAGATTGGTTTTCAAAGAGAAAAGTTCATATAAAGTACTCAAGAGTTCACATTTCGAAGGTTAATTAAAATAGTCCAAAAATATTAATTTTTAAAGACTAGTTTATTATAATAATTTGAAACTTGGAAATTCAGTAAGATAACTGGTATTGATACAAAGATGTATCACATGATAAAGGAGGATAAAGTATCACGACTGATTAGGTGAGATAAACATCATGATAGTTATATTACACATCTTAATTAGACAGTAGGCAGGAAAAAATAATCATACAATAGTTATGTTTTCATCACATTCAAATTATTCACATGATACAAAAACAATAACTCTTAATACTGCCAAATGAAACTTTAGTTTGAAAAAATATATCAATAAGTATAATATTTTTATTGAAAATACTGGACACCTTTGATTTGTGGATAATACTCGTATCAATAAGCTCAACAATCAAGTGATATCAGATGATAATTTCATAATTATATGGACATAAAGAATGTGGTTATTAATGATAATTTATCACTGTATTGTACAATATGGACATCAGGTGCATGGTGTTTGGACACACAACAACCATGTAGTCTACTGAATCAATCAGTATATCAACCTAGATTCCTATCAAATCCTCAACAAAGTTTGATTGTTAGAACTATTCCAGTGAATAATTTATTAAAAAGCACCACTCACCTACACAACAGGAGGGTCATGAGTGTATGTACTTTCTAATAAATAAATCTACTACATAGAGCGGGCTTACTTGAGACCTAATTTCAAAAACGTTTCTTTTCATAACCACTGAAGTAGTCAATATGTCTATCTTGAATTGTGTGATATACAATTAAAATTGCGTCTAGACACTATTTGAACATCAGGATACTGACATGCAGTAGTAGAACTAGCTTGAATCAATATGTCTGAGTTGAATTGAGACAAGCTGAATCAGAATCTGAACTTCCAGCCTAAAAGATCCACCAAACACTGAATACTTTCATCTATAATTAAGTCAATTGTGATCCATGTACCAAGTGTCAAGCTTCACTGAAGAATTTGAAGTTATTTTGTTCATGCAAGCTTCTGGACAAAAGTAACTGGACTTGTAGAATCCCAGACAGACATAGAACTTTGATTGTTTTCTATGATCACACCAACCATTGTTAGATTTTCTTAACAATATCTCCCGCTGGCTCTGTTTTTCATAGTGAATGTATACACAGCTTTTTCTATTATTAAAGAAGACAACGAATACAGTTCACACTACTGACAACTTTCAACAACCTTTAACATAACCAATTCATAAAAACCACCTACCCTTGTTGACTAATTAATATTCCTAGCACACATGCAAATAAACGTGCATGTAAACATGCACCTCTTCAAAATAACACCATGGTTAAAATAGATTTTTATAGTCTCAAGATTCGTTTCAAAATTAGAGTTCAAAGCAAAAAAAATTGGCACTGAGAAAGGTTACTTCCAATGAGAGAAATTTGAATACAAGAAATGTTTCTTAAATTGTCTCAAAATTATGGAAAATTGAATATACATGTACTTTGGGAACATTGACAGGTATCTAAGTTCTGGCATTTTTGAGCTACATTTTCAAGCATTCCAATATGCAATATTTTATTATTTAGTTCAAAAAAGTCAAATGAAAGTATAAAACATTAACATGATCAGAGCAGACTCCAGTTAAACAACAGGAATTTGCAACTCAGTGGATACTGTGATTGAACACCAGTTTCACCAAATATGAATGCTGCAAGTTTTTTTCGTAGGCATCCAAGTACAGTGTACCATCCAAAGCAGTGTGGCAGCCTACCACAGGAACCCAACCTGCAATCTCCACTGGGCAGACATGTTAACCCACAATGTCACAGGTCAATCACTGATAGTCAAGGTACTGGGGGTTGTCTTAAATCACCACAATGGTGGTAACAGCAAGATGGCATATAACAAGTGGAAGTACCTTTTCAAGAGGATCTCTTGTTTTACCAAAGTGATTTACAACAATATCCACAGCACAATTCATGGCAGATACAAATCCTGAAATGAAATAAGACACAAGATTTTGAAAAAAATTGAAGTTCCTTTGTTAAATCATTTGATGATTTAAGTAGAATGAGTGAATCATTGTCATCAAAAAATGTCCAAGTGTATATTTATAATCACAGTTTGTCAGATAAATAGGTACAAATGTACAATCACACTCAAAAGAAAATTCTTGGCCCCAAATCAAATCTGACAGTTATAGCATTCAAGAGATATACTGATCAAAACCTGATGTATTCCACTGTTATTTATTGTCTTCACAAAAATAACTATTGTTGTTTGATTTCTTCTTTGGAATCAAACAAAACACAATTAACCTATGAAGTATGATGTTTGAGGTCGGACATTGTGGCAACACGAGTAAAATATTCATCCTATAAATTCAAATAGAATGGATCTAATCGCTATTCAGAGAACAACTCAACAGTGTGGTATGCATCTAGTGTATGAATCAGTGACTTGATGACACCCTAAGATGATGAAAACTCAACAGTGTGGTATGCATCTAGTGTATGAATCAGTGACTTGATGACACCCTAAGATGATGAAAACTCAGTGACTTGATGACACCCTAAGATGATGAAAACTCAGTGACTTGATGACACCCTAAGATGATGAAAACTCAGTGACTTGATGACACCCTAAGATGATGAAAACTCAGTGACTTGATGACACCCTAAGATGATGAAAACTCAATCACAACCGGGGCTACGAAACTGCTGGGCGATGTTCGGCTATTGGCGATACAGATATTTTGTGAATCACATACCCAAACATGTCAAAAGTTTCAACCACAATTTTATCGACAATAAAACTTTAAATATTTTAAATTTTTAATATAACTTTTTGTATAACAACTCACCTTTTTTCTGTGAGATATCAATCTCAATGCAGTTATCAAACTCTTCATACGCAGAGATTGGGATATCAATTGGTGGGACGTCATAACCAAAGAAAGTTGGTGGATCGGCATAATCAATACTTGGAGGCAGAGCTGGTTTTTGACATCCAGTTATAGGTTGTGGTAATGGTATTGGAACTGGTGCTGAGATAAGGCCAGGTGGAGGAGAGAGTCCTGTCAAATTAATTTAGTTCTAAGATAAATACATTTTCATAAATATTGTTATCAATAAGTGGGCAAAAAATTACCAAATTTCCAATAAAGATTTTTCACCTAAATCATTTCAAATGCACATGCTCATATCTAGCAACCATAGTGGAGGCCACACTTTAAATTTTACAGACATTATGTGCAGAACACTAGAAGCACTTGTGATGAACGATGAAAAACCATGTATGTTTATTTGTTTACTTACACTTTAAAACACAATATATCTCATCCAGTTTTCATTTATCTATATTTTTACACTTATATTATTTTTTTAATTCTTTATTTGCTAATAGAAATTTGTATTTTTAAAAATGCAATAAAGATGATGATGATGCAATAAACTTAAGAAATGTTGAACAAAACAATTAATGATAATTTACCTTTTCGTCTGTTGTAGTCGGCATCCACCATGTAAATAGGCTTGAGTGGTTTGTTTTGTACGTACACGACCTCTCCCAGTAAATCCTGCTCCAGAATTTGATTTTTTTGGCTTTGTTTGACTTTGACTGGGTTGCAGTTCTCAGCAGCGTAGAAAGCTGAATTAGAAGCAAAGTTATTAATACCTGAAGTAAAAACTGTTTCAGTATCAGTTTCTTTCCTCTGTGTTTTCCCCTCAGTTTTAGTTTTTAATTTTGGTGTACTTTTTAATGTTTTGTTCTCTTTTTCACCGTTTCTAGGAAGTACAATAGTGACTCGTTTCTTAATAGTCTGAGTACCCTCATCAGTTGTTGTCGGTTCAGTTTGTGTTGCTACGGCGATTGACTCCTCATCCTCCTCCTCTTCCTCCTCTAAGCTATCAATCCGATGTAGTCCTACTTTCATCGGTTTCATAAATTCCGCACTTGAAACTGTTGTACCTCGACTTATACGAACAACGCAAGTGTTTTCCGCCTCATCTCTTGTTTCAATAGAGTTGGAATCTTGCATATTCAAAAACAAATTACAGTTACTGAAATCATCCTCAAAGGCAGGAAAAGAAAGTGGTGGAAGCGGTGGCGGTGGAAGAGAGATGTTTTCTGGAAAGTTGAGAGGAGGAATCTTCTTGATAGTGTGCTTAACGATACCATTTTCCAGAAAGCCATTGTAGTTGTTATTATTACTATTATCAACTTCAGTTAAAGAGTCACAAGATGTTGAGAAGAAGGCTGGGAGTAAGATAAAATACGAAGAGAAAGTTAGCAAAAAGCTGAAGGTGAAAGAGCTGTTAGTACAAGTATCATGCACATCTAACATTAATCTCACCAATACTAAATGATTAATAGTTCTGTTTGCAATTGACAGTATGATATAGCATTTGAAAGGAAGACATTTTGAGAAAGTCGCTGTGACTGCTTTTGGTTTTGAGACATTTTGAATGAAATGTTTACAAATTTACAGAGAATTTTTGTTTGGGGTGGGAGTAGGACATGAACATCTTACTGGAGACAATTTAGTACTTATATTGTAAAACCATTCATTTTCAATGCCATTTAATTTTTTTTAATTCCATGAAATTTGCCATGAAAACAACGAGTTTATATGGATTTAATTAAGCAGGTTTTACTCATCAGTAATTACAGGAAAACTAAAACCCAGTGACTAATTAATGCATTTACACTTACAATACATGAAAAATACTGTTTTACAGTAATAATGCTTGATTGAGGGTACGTTGAGAGGGTGGTCACCCCAAATAAATAAACATATCCTGGAGACTGCTTATGAGGATTTGACATGATTTGTTGATGTATAGACATTTTTAAAGATTTTATGGGTTATCTGACCTCTGATCTCAATAAACTAAACTCACACATCTCCTGTTACTGAGAATGTAACAGTGCACTATAGGGATGAAATTCCTACTGAATAAAATGAGAAATATTATCATATTAGAAACTCATGTAAATGTTTTGATAATTTGTAATTCATATCAATAACAACTTGTATTCTAAAAATACAATAAACTATAATATTACTATTATTATATAACAATTTTCCCATTCAAGCCAAAATAAAAAAGACAAAAACACAATAAAAATGAAACTATTTTCCAAAACAGCTTTCAAATTGGCACTTGTTTCGCTATAAATTGTCTGGCAACACAAATTTTGACATCAACCATAATAACAGTGACGCCACAGCGCAGTATACACATGATGTAATCTATAAATTAAACTCCTACGTGTTGATAAGTGTAAGTATGAAGACAAAGTACAATTCATTTTCAATTTATATGTATATGTATCTCTTTAACCTTTTGAGCAACAACATTTGTCAATTTTCACCAAACAAATCTCATACATGTTTAATTTTTTTATACACATTTTCATTTCATTCACCAGCAGAAAAATATCCAAAGCGCTGCACCAAAATTAATTTTATTTGAGAATTGTACAAAATCAACTTTGTTATTCCTAAGGGCTGTAATGAAACCTTATCTTCCCTAAGTGTGGGAAAATAATGACAGTAGAACCAGTGATTATTACACCTCTGGTATTCCCATCAATAAATGTAGTGTTGTAATTCATGATAATGTGTGCTGGCCGTTAAACCCAATCATCATAAACAATAAAATGCAGTGTCATTTAGGTTAAAAGCATTTCTCTGTTGGCTTAGAATAATTTATTTTAATGGACATGATTTAAGTACCAGCAATTCACAAAGTAGAGAATGGTCAGAATTTACCATGGGTGGTCAAAATATAATTTAGCAAGTGAGAGAGTGACAGAATAATGCTACAATCTGAGGCAGAGCCTATTTTTCTCCAAAAATGACAAACTTTATAAAGATATGAATGTTAATGTAGAAGAAAAGTTATGGTCGTCTGGAACATAGTGCCCTTTGTACATGCAACAAATTTCAAAAACTAAGGACAAGCCAACATAACCCTTTTTATCAAACTTATAAAGAACATTTTACTTTTTCACGTTATTGATATATTAGATAAAAATTGAGACAGCTAGAAGGTAACTAGAATACAGCGACTACAATCAGCATTGCAACTTAATAACCACTTAGTGTTGCCACTGAAAAATATTATGATTTCATCTCAAAAACCACTTTGAATCAAGTGTATTTGAATAAATGAAAATTTAAAGAAATTAAAATGAATGTTTCTCTAATATTTGCTCTATCATTAGTAAAACATGACCTTATAAAGCGAATAAATATATATAAGAAAACAAGACATATCACCTTATTTTTCATATCAAATGATTATCAAATGAAATGCAAAAAAGACAACCTCCCCTAAATGTAATTTCTAAATGATAATTTGAACCAAACTGACATAATTCATACATGGCTTGATCAAATTAAATATTTATAAACTCAACCATTTTCATGTAAAATCAGCATCATTTAAATCCAAATGAAACAGTTAGACTGGCTAGGTGGCATCTTCCTTAATTCTGCTAAATTCTTGCGCATCTATAAATCTTAAAAATTTTCTTAAAATTTGCCCAGGAGTTTGTATGAAGACTCCAATTTTTTTATTTCCCTTTTAAAACCTACTATTAAGGTGCTGCAATTAAATATATGGGAAGGAGGTCTCAATTTAAGACATTATTCAGCCACTGGGGCCACAATATGTACTGTACATACATAAATATAGATCAATCTATTTACATGTAAAATGTCTATAGGGCAATTAATAGATAAATTTCAATAAACATTTTTGTTTGAACCATGTAAAATTGATTAATTGAAAGAGCTCTTTATGAAGACTGCACAGAAATAACTTCCATATCAGATTTCAATATCCTATTAGTCACCTGCCTTCCTGTTTCCTACATGAACTATGGCTGAACACTGTAGCTACAGCACAATGAGCCTTTTTAAATCCAACATCATAATATTAATCAAAAACATTGTTACAAAACAATATTTTCTAATTTATTGCAATAATTAGAGTAATAGTTGAGCTTAATATGTTAGCAAATACTAATCTTGCATACTGTGCATGTATTCTAAAAATAACTTGAACCACGCATTAATTTAAAATAATACATTTTCATATTTCTATTGAAAAACATACATCGAGGATTACAGATTTAACAAAACTGAACAAAAAAATTTAATTAAAATTCCTGATTGAAAAAAAATCCGAGTGAATTGATATACCCCCATTTTTCAATTGCGTTATTAGTATGTAAGGGGCCCAGGTTAAGGATATTGCTTTCACTATGAATGTACAGTCTTTGAATTCATGTCATGACTACATATAAGACTGTCTAACATACAATACCTGCTCTTCTCAGGGCCACATTTTAACACCAACATTTTGGTGCAACTTTGATGGCATTTTTCAATAATTTCTTTGTTGATTTTTGACCAAAAGGGCATGATTTTTCATTGTCTACAAGTCTTCGTCAACATTTATGAAAAATATGAAAGTGTCCTCAGTTTGATATCAACATTGCATAATTAATTAGTAAATACCATCGAAACAATATTCCATGTACATTTTTAATTAAATTATCCTATTATATAACAGTTACAAGTATATTGCAACTGACGACATTAATTAACAATACAATGTTACATATTAATTGGGCCAATGTTAATGATCACCTTTTTTCAGACACACCAAGCAGTAATTATTATTAATATTTAGGTATTACCGGTATTTATGATTCATGTTTTTGTGATACTGAATTGAAGATTTAAAATTAAAGGAGCACAGAATGGCCAGTATTTTCCAAATGCATTTTTAAAGCATATACTGAAGTAAACTCCAAAGGGACTACACTAGGTATTGTCTCATAACATAATGACAATTCACCTATGAGAATCTGAAGTTATTTGTTACTACATAAACCCCACCCTACCCTTGCTAAGATGGCATGTAAAGGGAGAGTTTGAGATGTTTATACATTTGGCATCTACAGCACATATCTAAAAGCATGGGGAATAAAATCCATGAATATTATCTCATTGGCAAATCAACAAATTAATTGTTAATGACATTTACAAACTAGAAACAAATAATGCATTTTACATGTGTTGTTTACATTGCTATGAATCCCATATCGAACAGGATGCAGCATGATGACCTTTCGGCAAATTGGAAAAAATCAAACACAAAAAAATTAACAGGAATGTTTCTCATAATGTCCAATTTTTAGTGAGAAAGTTTTTTAATATTATAAATAAGGCTTAAAGGGAACCTCAATCCAAACAACATAATGGCCCCTAAAGAAAAAGCTTCACAAATGTAGGAGAATGAAATTTACAGTTTTGTTGTATCACTTTTCATTCTCTAAGATATTCCACTTTTCATC